TAGAAAATTGCTTAGTTTCCATTTGTGTACAGTGATAGCTAACATTAAGCCGTGTAATTTGCCTTATTATTCCTATATATACAAAGGAACCCTCACAATGAGGATTATCGAGTCAAAGGATAAATTGAATACCTTGACATGGTATCAGAGCCATAATTCTGAATTTCTTCGTGGTTTCTTATGCGATAGAGTAGGTCTTCGGTGGTGTCGAAATTTTTCGACTGCGATAGAGGCGGTCTTCGGTGGTGTTAGAATTTTCCGACCTCTTGGGTGCTGTCGGCGTCTTCTGTGGTGACTGGCGACGCCTTCTTTGGGTTTTGTCAAGACTGTTCATTTGGGTCCTATGTGGTGTCCAATTTTTTGGACTTCTTTGGTGCTGCCGGCGTCTCCTGTGGTGGCTCCCGTGGTGGCCGAGACCGTGCGATGAACGTGGAGGCCGAGATTGGTGCGATGAATGTGGAGGCCGAGACTGGTGAACCCGACGTGAATTAGAGGTTTGATATTAACCTCTGTTTATTGGGCTAATTAATCCATTGTTTAATTGGGGTTTTAAAGTTTACTTGGACAATTTATCCATTATTTAATTTGGGTCTTAAAGTTTACTTGGGCTCGGTTTATATTGGGCTTTCTGCTGGACTTTGGTTTTGCTGAATTTATATTGGGTTCTTTTGTTTTTAACTACGTACATCATGTCAACCAACATGTCTGAAACTTTCGGTGTGCGATTCACGGGTAAAAATTATTCTACATGGGAATTTCAATTTCGATTATTCGTTATGGGAAAAGAATTATGGGGTCACATTGATGGAAGTGATCCAACTCCTACTGAGAATATTCAATTGGGCAAATGGAAAGTGAAAGATGCTAGGGTTATGACATGGATTTTAGGATCTGTTGATGCTATGATTGTACTAAATCTAAGACCTTATAAGACTGCTAAAGAGATGTGGGAGTATTTAAAAAAGGTCAACAATCAAGGCAATACAGCTAGACGATTTCAATTGGAGTATGAAATTGCAAATTACACTCAGGCCAATCTCAACATCCAGGATTACTTCTCTGGACCCAGTATAAATATTTCGTGACTTTTATTGATGATTATAGCTGATACACATGGATCTATTTTCTCCGTTTTAAATCTGAAGTACTTTCAGTTTTTCAGACCTTTGTGACATATGTTGAGACCCAA